TTGCGATAATCGCCATTATTTGATCGCAGTCGCTATCAAAACATCGCAACTAACCGTGATTATCGCAGCGCGACAATCTGTTTAGCGACAGAACTCATTCTCGCATATATCGGACTGACTGGATATAATTGCAGGGAGCAGTGACTAAACGTATCCTCGTTTTCATAAGAGTGGAAAATAATCTCGATTTCTGCTTTAGTACTGTATTGTGGATTTATCATGGCGATATTATAATTTATAATACAGTATTATACATTGCAAAGAACAAGATGTAGAATATAAAGAAAGATTGATTTCAGAAGTCTTCAACCCAAGGAAATAACGACTCCGTTTTATATATTCATCTAATAAAACACACAAAAAGAAAGTTGTGCTTTAGGATTTGAATTAAAAAGTAGCGCCTTCATTTGAGATTTGATGTATTTTGAGATGAATTTCATAAGTATTCTGTCGTCGTCTTCTATGGCAGAAGACTAAGAACAGAAAAGTGTTAATATTAACAACTTATGTTTTAAAAGTGTTCTCCGACGACACAATGTCTGTATAGTAACTGAAGTAACTCGCAAGCATTCTGATAGGAATACAGCTTATGGTAGACATATTTGTAGCAGTAGTTTATCGCAATCGTAAAACCGCCTTTACTTATATTTGCGAGATCGCTGGTTCGCGTTTCGATTAATGGACTTTTTTTCAAATCAATGCAATTTTTATATAAAATAATTGTAAATTGCACGAGTTTATACATTTTAAATAGAAAATAAATAGACAGAAATAAGAATTTTCTCTTTCTTGAAAATGAATTTTCGAAATTGTATTTTTTAGAACTCGAATAACTAATTATTGGGGTGCAATTTTCAAATTGCAGATCTGTAAATTCTCAGTGTCCTCTCAGTCATCCTTCGTTAATCTCGAGAATTGAAGTAGATGAAAATCGAGACAGATATTGAAAGCTTAGGAGCGGGAGGCCCCGATTAACTATATACGAGCTTCCAGTGGCCCGGAAGTCACGTGATTTTTAATTCCCTCTTTTTGTTTTCTTTCCCTTTAGCTCCTTCCATTTCCTCCCACACGTCGTCAACCTCCATTCCATCATTTAGGTTTATGGTTTTGTTTTTATTAATGATTTCGAAGTGCTCTTTGAATTTTCGTAGATAAATATCTTTTTCTTTATGGATAATTTTTATACTTTTTTAGTTTATTGTGCATCCGAATTCCTTACAGTGATTTGTCCACGGTGATTGGTTATCATTAAGTCTAATTGCTGCTTTATGTTCTTTAATTCTGGTACCAAGTTGTCTTCCTGTTTCGCCAATGTGAGGGGTGCAAATTACAAGAAAATATTGCACCCGAAATGCATAGAAAATAAATAAAGAATATGAACAAAAGCTTTGTCTCTGATTAAATGTGGTCCAGGCCAAAAAAACGGGGGTTATTTATGTACAATTAACCCATAAAATTTTTTTCTCATCAATTTTGAGGAAATATTTTTGAAAAATTGATTTTTTAAAAGTAATATAAAGTAAACCGCACCATGGATATATACATATCTATTACTTATAGCAGTTTATTTTTTTAATTTTTATTCTTCAAGTTACAGATTATTTGTCCTTGTCCCCTTCAAAGTACTTCTATCCCCTATTCACACACTTATCCCATCAGTGTTTCCACTTTGCAAAGCAGTCCTGATAAGCTTGTTTCAGAATGTCCTTCAATGCTTGTGACAAATTTGTTTTAATGTCATTGTGTCAAAACAGTGTTCTTTCAGCACTTATTTTAATTTTGGAAACAAGAAAAAATCAAAAGGAGCCAGGTCTGGTGAGGACAGTCATTTGATTTTTCGCACAAAACTGGTGAATTGACAAGGCTGAAGAGCGGGTGCATTGTCAAGGTGAAGAAACTAAGAGTTGTCTCACCACAACTCTGGTCTCTTTTTGCAAATTTTTTTCATGTAACTGTTTCAATACCCGTACATATTACTGACGTTTGACTGTTTGATCTTGAGGCAAAAATTCAAAGTGCACAACTCCATTGAAATTGAAAAAAACTGATCATCACCTTGACATTGTATTGAGAATGTCATTTTTTTTTTTTTTTTGCATGGAGTGTGGAGATCCTTTGCCAACCCACAGTGATGATTGAACTTTTGTCTCAATGTCATAGCCTTAAACCCAACTCTTGTCATCCATTATGATCCTTTGCATGAATGTTTTGTTATTGTTGGCTTATTGAAGGAGTTTCAGGCAAACATCCACTCGATTTTCCTTCTGCTGTTCAGTTGTCGAATGAGGAACAAATTTTGCTGCAACTCAATGCATATTCAATTTTTCCATTAAAGTGTCATGGCATGGCCCTATTGAGATCCCAATTTATTCTGAAAGTTCTCCGACAGTCAGCACCAGATCCTTGATTTTCTGAATGTGAGTGTCATCAGTTGAGATTGAAGGTCATTTTTAACTGATAACCACTTTTGAATTGGGTAAACTATTCGTTATACTCTGTACAACCTAGAGCATCATTTTCATAAACTTGATTCAAAAGTTGAAATGTTTCCATAAAAGTTTTTCCAAGTTTTATGCAAAACTTTACATTGCATTATTGCTCCTGTAAATTGCACATTGCAAAAATAGCCACAAATACTGAAACAAATATAAATCTAATTATAAAGCAAATACTGAAACACCTTTACTCAAAAAACAATAACATGGGAATGAAACGAGATATCAACAATCCGAAAAAGCAACTTACTTGGTAGGTATCACAAATGCATGTTGCCAACCTCATGATGCTAAAACACTCCATTTTCACCCAATTCAAAAAGTTTGGTTATTTTTTGAACAGACCTTATACGTAAAACGGCACAGTACTGCAAACAGATAAGGCAACTTTTACAAGAGCTTGTTAGGTAAACTACAATAATTATGTGGGATATAACAAACTTGTATATTGTTAGGTAGGCTGATTTCCAACAAGTTTTTTGTAAACATTTGTGCCATAATAATAAATGATATACTAGTAGAGCTGCACATTCTTCCAGCATGCAAATAAATTTGAATTTCTCGAACAACCACCTTCAGAACTTCTGGAAGACATTCCACTAGTTTTAAGCGAAAAGTCGTAGATGCATTTGGATGGAGTATCTAGTATTATGCACATCCAGTCAGATTCTGGCTTTATGAACATGATGGAGAATACTAGATTGAAAGATGTGATCCAGTACAGTGGCCACCTTGATCTCCTTTTGATAGACTTCTTTTTCTTGTCTTACTTGGAGGAAAGGATGTATTGCTAGACTGACCATAATTTCTTGATGCCAAAAAGTGATGGGAGAGCCTCAGCTAAAAAAAATACAGATTCTCTTTTATTGAAATTCTGTCAAGAAGTGTTTTTAGTAATTTGTTAGTATGATATTAATTTGGGATGTAAAAAGTACATAAATTTCTCTAAAAGCTTTTATTTTTGAATATTAATATTAAAAAAAATGGTTACTTTTATTACAATATGATATCAACTTTAATATTTAGGTTATTGTAGGAAGTTTTCCAGGGTCAAACTGAGAATATTTTTCATATGAATTTATTTTGTTTAATAAGATCTGTTCACTTGCAATTTTATCATAAAACTTATTGT